TATAATTCATAATTCTATTTTAAAAAGTCGGTAAGTCATCGAAAGGAATATTATTTCATTTATATTTTTATAAATATTTAATACCATATTTCTACCCCTCTAGTCTTACACTGCTAAATTAGGGACGGGTAGCGCAGATAGTCCTCGTGTAGCTTTGGACGAAATTCAAAACAAACAAATAAAATATGGAAACAAGACACATAAACAAGTTTCCTGATGAAACGGTTTTTTATTATTAATAATAAACAACAATTTACAGAATATAACTATGGTCAAGTCAATATAAATATAAAATAACACTTATAATATGTTGGGGTGTATTTAAGTGCTTGGTAAAGCAAGTTTCACGAATGAATGGTAATACATCCAACCCACGCATTGCATTTAATTCAACTCACTATCTTGGGTTTCTTTCTAATCGGAAAAGTTTTCAGATGATTTCACTTTATTATGAACAGATGACTTTACATTTTCCTAGAATAGTAAATCAATTCGCTGACTGTTATTTAAATTATTTTGCTGAATTAATGTTAATGAATAATTTTTGCCTTTAGAAGGTGGAGCTTGTTTTTAGAAATATTGTAAAAACCCGCCACACTAAGGAACCACTTTATCTTTTTTTTTATCTAATTTCACGTATTTATATTCTTGGCTAGTCAAATATCACCAAGAACGAATTCTAATTGTTTATAAAGCAAGAGAAAAAGGACTAAAGATTTCTACGCATGAAAATTTTTTACCAATGTTTGTTTGTTTTAAGAGCAAGGCTACTCAATGAGCTTACTGCTATTATAGTGCCTTTGTCAGGCTTTATAATAATAATGTTTTCGTTGTTCTAAAGATTTTTAATGGTTTCCTTTTCTACAGCAGAAATAGTTTATTTGACATGTTATGGCCAATCCCACTATTCGATTAGAGTAGCCCAAGAGTTGAACGTGGGTGGTGCTGACTAGCTGCCTTCCCTCTACTCTATCACTTCTGAATTAGTGATGGCTTGCGCAGACAGCCTTTTTGTAGTTTTGAGCGAAATTAAACAAACGACTTCATAATTCTATTTTATAAAAGTCGGTAAGTCATCGAAAGGAGTTTTATTTCATTTATATTTGTATAAATATTTAATTCCATATTTCTACCCCATAATGTTGTATAGCCTATAGGAATCATAGAAACGTGTTCTCGTGAGTTTTTAACACAGATCGAACGGACAACACTTTAATTAAACAAATCATCAAGTTCGTCGTTTTTCTTCAACGTAAATAAAAAATACCCTAACTGACTTTACTTGAAGTAGCATTAAAATCTAGTGGTTTGAAAGAAGATGTATCATTGAAAGTAAATTTAAAGCCCTAACAATAAGCCCTCCAGTGGCTCAGCAGTAAGTCTGAGAACTTATAACACTAAAACTCGGGTTTCGATACCCGCGGTGAGCAGAACGCAGATAACCCATTGTATAGTCTTGTATATAACAAGAAACAAACAAACTTAACAGTGAACAGTTCTATTAACAACATTACTAAAGTGCCTTTGTCAGACATTATAATAATAATGTTTTCGTTGTTCTAAAGATTTTTAATGGTTTCCTTTTCTACAGCAGAAATAGTCTATTTGACATTTCTGTATTTTATATAAACATTTCGAACCAGGCCAGAAACATTACAGCAATTCTAATTTCAGTTTTAAGTTAAAGAAAATAAAAATTATGATTAGCATAATTCTAGTCAACAAAATAATTAAAACAAAATATAGCTTGTTGAATAAATAAATGAGAAAATATATAAATATATACAAATAATGTTACCATAAATTTCACTCATCTTTCAAAGGTTTGTATGTAGCCGAGCAAAGTTTATTGTAAATAACTAAAAATAAATAAAACCTATGAGTTTAACTAATTTATCTAAGTGCGTAATATTTTGTGATTGAGTATCCACGTGATCTGTCGTTATGTTAGACTGTAATTTTGGTTGTGTTTGTTTGGTTTCTTTATTACGTGGCTGTGCTACAACTGCTGCTGTATTTGTATACGTGGGTTCAGACGGTGCTCTTGGTGTCGGTAGTGTTTTTGGTACTGATTGTTGTGTGTGGATTGATTCCGTGTGTTGTATATTATTTTCTATGGTTTGGTTGCTATTATGTATTGTATATTCGTGTTTTGATCTCTTTGTAGTCAGCTGTGTGTTGTTGCTTACAGTTGCAACAATACGTACTTTCGTGTTCCTTTGGGCACATAGAGTTGTGATATTTTCCGCCACAGCCAACACATCGTGGGAGATGATTACAGGCAGACGTCACGTGTCCGTATCGTTGGCAATTAAAACATTGCCAAACGACAACTGCAGGTATTTTGGATTTTTCTATCGTTAGTTATTAAGATTGTGAATATCCTGTGTTTCGTGTGTGTGTGTGTTTGTGTACTTTAATCATGTTCGTCTGTTTTTGTGTCCTTTTAGAGATACGTTCGACTTTCATATATTGAATGTTTTTTTGTGAACGTTCATCCTGGATTTGTTTCAATGTCTATTCTGTAGTGAATTCCTTTGATTACGAATGATTTTGCGTTTGGTTTATTTACAGGTAAATGTATCCATATATGACCCGGATAAAAGGCGTCCTCAGGCCATTGTTTGTGGTGACTCTCTAGGTCAGCCGCCCTGTCCCTCCGATTAGAACTCCGCCCTCAGCTAGGCGTTTGATAGCAGTGATTTTAGTGTTAGGTTTACAGCGTTTGATTTCCGCTTCCAACTGTGGTTCTTTGTATGTGACAGGTATACCTTCTATGATAAAAGTGTTTGGGTGGTTGTGTATGTTTTGTGTTTCTTTATTTCTTGTGGTTGTGTGTTAGTGTTTTGTCTGTTTTTATTTGCTGAATATTTTCTTTGTTTTTTAGGCATGACAAGTGTAAATCCACCAGTGTCCATGTGTGTGTCTGTTGTTTCTTGAGTCTGTATTTGTGTATCTCCATCAGTATCTAAGTGTGTCTCTGTTGTTTGTTGTGATATTGTTTGTGTATCAATATCCAGGGTGGTGCTAATTTGTATGTCATCCTTCTTAGCTACAACGACTCAAGTATTTAATTGTGGACTTAACCTTAGTTTTGTATTAAGGCCACCTACTCTAGACTTACATGAAGTTTTAAGGAAGAGGCCATTTCTAACAACCAAGTTTCGATTTTACGTTACGTCTTGGTTGATGTATTTGTCTTCTCGATTTCGGCAATCGTTGTATGTAGCAAGGGTTTGTATGTAGCCGAGCAAAGTTTATTGTAAATAAAAATAAATAAATAAAAATCTATGGGTTTAACCGATTTATCTAAGTGCGTAATATTTTGTGATTGAGTATCCACGTGATCTGTCGTTATGTTAGACTGTAATATTGGTTGTGTTTGTTTGGTTTCTTTACTACGTGGCTGTGCTCCAACTGCTGCTGTATTTATGTATTTGTCTTCTCGATTTCGGCAATCGTTGTAAAGAATTCTTTGTTGAAATTCCAATCTACGAAAGATTGAAAGTAGTTCGATGTGGTAGCCCTCACCGCATTAGGCGGGGCAGGAACCTGCCACAGTTTCTCCGCCAGAATAATCCAGCTCGTCGTCGATTAGAGGTAGATGTTGTTCTTTTAGCCTACCGACGATACGTTAGTAACTAACGGTTTACTGTTTTTAATGCTATTTAAGAGATCGTTATGTAGGTATGTCCTATCTCTTCCGAGGTACAAACGGAAATCCTTAATATAGATCTTAGAGTCTGCTTGTTTGATTCGTATATTCGCGCCAAGTTACATACGGGCTACCTGCGATAGCTGTCCCTAATTTTGAACTGATATACTATAGGAATGGCAGCTAGTCGACAGCACCCATCGCAAACTTTTGGAATGCACTAATTTCCCAGAAAGGGGGCTGCCTGGAGGGGTCACCTATTTTAACCAGCCGCACCACTATACAGTAGTATGTTGTCTATCAGTCTTGTCTGTATATTATTTATTCATGAATATAGTTTAGTTAACTGTTCAGTTTAGTCAGAAGCTTGTTTAAAAATAATCAGACATACATTCAACTATTTCTGTGCAAATGCTTCCAATCGAGTACACAGTATTGTAAGTCTAGATTACAAGTCTAGATTAATCAGAAGCTTGTTTAAAAATAATCACACATATAGCTATACATTAAACAAGAATAACCAATGCTGTAAAAACACAAAGGCAACAGTTTTTTTGTTTTTATACAGGAATCATTGATGCCACTGCTTGAATTAACTGACAACACAGTGGCAGTTATGTGTATACAAATTATCAAATCAAACTTTGCATAAGATTACTTAATTTTCTATTCTGCTTTAACCAGCCGCATCACTATACAGTGGTGTGTTGTCAGTCAGTCAGTCAGTAGACATTAAAATGACGTTGCATGAGGGGCGCTTAAGGTTGCAATTTGTACTGTCGTGACGGCAGTAAAACGTGCATATATCATGAATCACGAGAAGAATTATGCGCTCTGTATGCTACAACACAGCATGACATATGAACTTCAAAAGCAAGAAATAAAAATATTTGTTACTCTTAATTTTGGTTTTATTTACTCTTGAAACAGAACATTTTCGGGGGACCTGCGGAAGTACATCTAGTCAAGAAGTGGTATCTGACAATTTCTCTTGTAATGCTCCTACAGCCCAAAAATGTTGAACGCGACTTGGCGGCAAAGGAATGCAAACCATGGATTCATAACCAGGCACGCTAACCAATAGGCTACGCCTAGCTCAGAGTAATAAATATTTTTTTTTTCACATTACACATATAGACAGAGTATCGTATGATTACAATTATTCCCATTATTACAATATACTTGTCTATATAGATACTCTTAGAACATTTTCATTTTTAAGAATCTTTGTGTTGACTTGTAACTCAAAAAACAAATTAAATGTACCAGGAATCGTTTATTAACCACTAGAAACAATAATTTTTCATCGTGTTTTATCATAATACAACAACACAATACATTCATAAAGTATTTAAAAAAATATAAAAACTGGAATAATTCCATTAAAACACCTTATAAAAAGTTCACGTCGTAATCCAAACAACTTTGTCAAGTTGTCACTTGTGCTTCGAAACAAAAGACAATCAATCTCTATCCTTACTATTCTAGCTTCTTGGCTAACGTTTATCTTTTGTAGATGCTTTCTTAAAGTTTATCTTCTGAACGTGCCTGTCCCGAACCGACAAACAATTGTTTTAATCTCGTCTCCATCAAGCTCCAAAGATCCGTGAAATCTGATGGTTAGTACGTTGGAAAAACTGCCAGCTGGACACTATGATCGTGGAAAGATTATTTAACACAACACTGGTTTAACTACATTACTTAAACATAACTCTTGTTTAATCTATGAAAAATGGAAAAAAAAGAACATTATTTACATTGTTCGATTTATGAACACAATACATTCGAGATTCTAAACGTAAAACGTCTTCAAATTTTAGTTTAGATTATTTCTGAAATATGAATTGGAAATAACGATTATTAATTCTGCTGACAATCCAGAGTAAAAGTTTTCTACGGCATTTTTTCAATATTATTTACGTCATAGTGAGACGCTTACTGTAGCTTAGTGGCTGTTAACTTTTTTGAAGCTTTGTTTTATCAGTTTATCAATGAAAATAAGCTAAGGTTCAACATTTCTAAGACGGCCCACTCATACTTAAATGTGTAATCAAGTTAACCGCAGCGCTTCAAGCGGCAGTTTAATAAACGAGCTTTATTTTTCCTTCAGTTCAACGCATCGACAAAACTGTTTATCAACATGATAATCTAATTTTAGCGTTGTAAAATATGCGTATTCCCGCAATAGTATTCCCTCTTATTCTATAGTCATTAGTGTTTCATGCTCGTGTGGAGTATAAAAAACTAGCCAAATGCAGAGCAGTTTGTTTCTAGTTAAGCACAAAGCTACATAAACGGCTATTTGTGCTCTGCCCACCACGGGTATTGAAACCCGTTTTCTAGCGTTATACGTCTGCAGATATTCCGCTGTGGCACTAGGGGGAATGCAGAGCAGAAAATTTTCTCAAATGCGATGTTACCACAGCCACAGTATATAATCTATATGAAGGCCAGGTTGCATCATGCCTTCAAATATTTATATTTTCTAGATCTGTAAACGTAAGATTTAGAAATGTTGTATTATATTAAATGTTTCACTAATCCTATGTATCTCTATTGAATTACTTGATTGTATTCCCAGGTTTTATACTGTATGTTATAATTGACAAAAGTCTTGATATGTATGCCTATTATACAAACTTCCTAAAACATTTGCCTCTAAATGCGTTTTTTTATTTGAGCTAATACACATTAAAGCGTTTACAGATTATTTCACCTGTCGATACGATCTCATATCAAAAAGTAAAAAAAAGACATATAAACTCTTCAAGATGCTATATAAAGTTATCAAACCAACCACCAGATGGCGCGTTTTAAATTTTATTACGCTCAGATATAGGGAGAGGGCTGTTTTAGCAACACGTGATCTTTGATAAAATCAACAAGTTCGAATCAAAAGACATATTAAGGTGACATTTGTGCTTTACCAATGGCTAGTTTTACAAGTTTGGCGCTATCTATTAGTTGTTGACTTTGAATATAAGTTATATGAAACTGTTCATATAATTTGATTTGTATTTTATTATCACAAAACATATATTTGTGTCTACAAAATTACAATTAAAAACTCAACGTTTTACAACCCCTACTCTTTCTTTTTAACATCATTATAAACAAGTGCTTATTCTTTTTATTATTTTAGACTTAAAAAACAACGACGCACATTAAAGTAAAAGTAATCAATAATTTATGCCATTTTTGGTTTCATATACGTGCATCACAAGAGTTAGTATAACACTGTACAACCATTATAATTAATCACGATAGTGGTTCATAATAGAGATCGCAAAAAATAGCACAAAACCCTAATAGAACGTTCGGGCAAAAAGTATTTTAAAATTATTTTAAAATACTTCCTTCTGAACAAAATATATTAAAACAGGTTCTGGAAATTATTGTGTTTCTGAAGATTTGTTGTACTCACAACGTGTTTGGTTCCACAGTCGTTAAAAGGTACGTGCAGACTGTAATTTGTGTCACCAGTACCGTATATCTTGCAACTGCTACCCTTATCACCAGCATGTATCACTCCATGGAAAGGCTCATTGAAGACCACATTTACTAGAATTTCATCAGGGTTGCAGGTCAGAGAGACTGTGTGAATACAAAGCAAGCATACCATATAGATAGATAGATCATGCTATTTTCTATTGTATCTATTATGATTTCATATTTTAGAAGACAAGAAAATTATTTTAAATTAGTATTGGAATAGAAAGACACTTTCTATCACGCTTGAGATTTCGACGGCGATTCAAAGAATAGTTGACCGGATGTTCGTTGTGTATCGCTTCAGAAACTATTCTATTGTAGGTATCAAGTTTGAAACCCGGGCGAAGTTTCATGCCAGGAATACGTTCTATTATTGCTCTGGATAAAATAGGAATTCGTAATTAGATATGAATTAGTAAGTCTGTTTTTGTTAAGAAGAATAAAAAATAAAAAATTATAAAACTCTGTAGTATAAAATCCACAGAAGAAGATGTGTTTATTTTAATGTAGAACACAAAAATGCTCCAAAGTGATGAGTGTTTATTTTAATGTAGAACACAAAAATGCTCCAAAGTGAGTGAGTGTTTATTTTAATGTAGAACACAAAATGCTCCAAAGTGATGAGTGTTTATCTTAATGTAGAACACAAAAATGCTCCAAAGTGATGAGTTCTTAACTAATCATCCTTATACCAATGTGGTATAATTCTTACACCAAAGTGCCGCACAGTGTTGTGAAATGTGACAGATGGGTGTAATACCCTTGCGTAGTTCTACATCAGAAATCTGAGATTCCAGTTTTGCATCGGGAATTTTTAAATTTAGCGATAGAAGAGAATGAGATTGATACATTTTTCCCGCAATAAAAAATGTTAATTTCAGAATTTGGAAAGCAGCAGTTTGCGACAGTTCAACATCACAATCCATTTTCTTAATATCTTAGATTGAGGAACATGCATTTGATGAATACAACAGCTCAGGAGCGTAACTGTTCTTGCAAGAGTGTCAGTCACAAGGGATATGGGTGGTTACTATGTCTTGGATAAAATAAACATATATACACTGCTTTTAAAATGTCAGATTAAAAGTTTAACCTTTCTATTCAATCTGAGAAACAGCAAACATACACAATTCTGTGGTTTTACTGGTGCTAAGAAAAACAATATATATAAACAAAATACTTAACATTATATAGTGATCAAATCAGCTTAAATTTCATTATGCTATTCATAAAAGCACGTGACCATTATGAGGGCTCGAATGCTAAGTTCACCAAAGTAGTTTTAGTCATTACCCTCCCAGTGGTTTAATTTTAATTACTCATCCCCCCAGTGGTCTAATTGTAATCATTCATCCCTCCAGTGGTCTAATTTTAATCACTCATCCCCCACGTGGTCTAATTTCAATCATTCACCCACCCCCCCCACCGTGGTC